CACCCACATGGACCATCATTTCACTCCTTTTACACAAGCATCTGCCATCCCAGTGAACAGAGCCACCAAAGGACCCATTATCCATCAGGAATGGCGTGGGGATGTGTGGGGATGTCCCCCTGTTTCAGCAACATTTGCAGATATTTCCTAAAATGCTGAGACTTGGGACTCCTGGATTTCATTACAGCCTTTGGACAAGTGTGTTTGTAGGGGCATAGACTCTTCTGCCCATTTTTAGGCAGAATGCTTATGATTTGTTCATATTTGGCTGGATTTGCATGGCAATGTCTCTCACACAAAAGCCACTCCTATTCCAAAGTTCAAGCCCTTACTTCAAAGCGTGGAACTGGTACAGTTTTTCAAAGGAAGGCTCCTCAGAGTTTAAGATTAGTAAAACAATATATTTTTCCCAGCAGAAGAGTTTCAGCTGAAATTTTAAAAACAAATAAATGCATAAATCACAATTTAGCCTGAGACAGACGCCCAGCATGGACAATTTCAGCCAGAATGTTTAAACTTTGGCAAAGCTGTAAGAGACTGAAAATCGTCTCATCATATGAAGTGTGTGGCATACTTCACACGACGCGATGTTATCAGCTGTAAGTAATCCAAGCTGCACATCTAATTCATAGACTTCGATGTTAGGGAAGGAAAAAACAATTTTAATAGATCAATTAGTGCTACATCTCAGCCTGAATTGAGCTATTGAACAAAAAACCACAAAATCTGGTATCTGCTCCAGTGAATGTCTTAACACTAAAGTTCCCCAAAACACAAGTGAATCATTTAGCTACTGGTAAATGTATTTAACTATATGTAGCTGAATTTCCTTGAGACAGACTATTCAGTGACTTTTGAATACAGCACCACTCTGTTTTCTTGCATTCAATGCTTATGCATAGACTTGATGTGCTAGAAATTTCCCTATCAGACATATACGATAAGCCAAAAGGCCCCTTTTTTTTTTGGTAGTGACTTTATAGCATAAAAAGACAAAGCAAATTGCAATATTTGTAAGTTACAAAATTATCCTATAACCTTTTAAAGTAGATGTCAGCATACTATATGCACAAGGAGTTAATCTATCCACTACATTATGATCTTTAACAATTGGAAGTGATTGGCCAAAGTGCTGTAAACCTGGCAGAAATTTGTTGCCTTATTTTCTGCAAACCACAAGCACAGCTTATTAATTGAGAAATGAACATTAACTGGCGTTAGCTGGCATCTGTAAACCTAAAAAGAGAAATGACCATGTTATGCATTCAGCTGTAAACGGTAGAGCTGCAAAGCTGCAACAGGTAAAATTGGTTTTTAAGCGCGAATGCAAAACCATTTTAGTTGGCTGCTGGCAAATGCCCAAGTCTAGGGTTTTTAATGAGGCTTCTGCATCAAAATAAGTGAAACCACATGGAATTTTAATTGTTCTTATTCTAAATTTGAAACACACTGGTGCAGTATTCTTGAATCTAGGATGTTAGCATATATATTGGTATATTAACATGATCACTTTTCTGTTCTAAATGTACGGCTCTCAGAAAACTTGAGTGCCAGGTTATGTTAAGGAGGAATCAGCTTGGAAGATTTAAAACCCATTTAACCTGGGCTCCTTCAAATGTAAAGGGATTGTTTTTCAATTTTTTAACTTTTTTTTTTTTTTTTGTATTGTCAAGCACAGTGAGCTGATCAGACTGCGCAGGGAGAGAAGATCACTTGCTGTGCTTGTTGCCGTGTTTCTCTTTCTGGCGGCACAAAATAAAGTCTCTTCTCTTTACAGAAGTGTGGTTTCGCAATCATGCGGCCACGATGTAGGGCGGAGGATCTGTGCTTCAGCCGTTTAATCCAAGCTATCACGAGAGTGGGAATTCACAGATGCAAATTGTTTTCTTGCTCTGATGGAGGAAAAATTAGCATAAATCTTTAATCCTGCTGGGGAGTGGAATAAATAAATTATTTACTTGCACTGTCATGTTACTATATTGCTGATCAACATCACTATTTATGTGCAACTAGATATACAAAGATGGGCGCCATACCCAGAAGAGCTATTTATCTTCCCAGTCCAGCAAAGAGCTAACCACATATAAATGAATATGCATTTCGTGTTTGCAAGTTAGGACCAAAATCAACCTTAACACAAGGAGATAGCACAGAGAAAGGAGGAGGAGGAAGGTAAAACTTTAGAACAGGCATCACAGAAAACTGGTTTTGATCTCCAAAATTATCTTTACACAGTGGAGATACAGAAGGCTGGGAACAAATCTGAACTTAGTGCAAGGAGTTAGGGAGACAGCAGAAGGTATTTGGGCAAAAGGCAGGTTGGAGAAGTGAGGGTGCAGGAGCCATGCAGACACAGCCATGAGTGAGATAAGAAAGGGTTATAGTTATTTGGCCTTTGGGTAAATAGGATTGTGCTTTATAAGCAACAGTAAAAACAAACAAGTGTGGATTTATTAGGGTATGTAAGGAGGTCTGTAGCCCGACATGAGAAATGCCTACGTGTGGTGTGCACATTCCCAGTCATTCGACACATACTTGATCTCTTGGCAGCACCCAAACAGATAATATTTGGATCTAGCCCTGAAAGGAAGATTGCCTTTTAATGTGTAAAACTGTGTGGATAGTTTGTTATTAAAAAAAAAAAAAAAAAGAAATGGTTGCAAAGAAAACCAAAAATGCCGATGTTCTTCTACACCCTGACACTCATACCAATTCTACCTTTGATTCTAAAAGTCTTGTTTAGCTTCTATCAGGGTAAACTAGGAGCAACTCTGTTCATGTTGGGAGAGTTGCAATAACAATGAAAAAAAAATAGTATAAGCAGTAGCAGATTGCAACTCAGTATTTTGAGCAGCTGGGGAAATTATGTTCTAACCTTATATTTCCAGATACGTATCAGACCTGTTCACAATATAAAGGGTAGTGTTCCAAAATTACAGCTTTGAATCTGGGTGGTATTGCCTCTAGCTATTGTTTGCAGTTGGGAACGAAAGAAGTTGCATCAAGCAGTAGAGTGTTTGCTGTAAAGGTACAAGTTATATTACATTCCACGGTGCTGTGGTTGGAGGGGTTGATGGTGGAGACAGACCCATTCACCCGTAGGTCACTGATTCGGTTCCAGATAAAAATAATAGTAATCACATTGTCACCGGGGTTTAAAATGGGCTTTTACTGCCCATTTAAAGCTCTGTATTCAACATCTTTTGAGACAACAGATTATATTATTATCCCTGGGTTTCAGGCTGCATATGTTGGATGCTTGGCTGGCTGTGGCCCAGGTCCTCCAGCCTGAACCCAGGTGGTGCCTGAGCTTCACTCCTCTGCCACTTTTAGGTATTGTTGAAGGCGTGGGTTAAATGAGCTGGTAGAACAGGAGAGAATAGTGATTTAAATCATCAAATGTGCCACACAAGGTGGCAGGGTCTGTTGATTCTGTTTCTTGAGAGTAACTACTGTTGTGGGTGTTGTAGGGAGCCAGAGGCAGAAGGGCTGGAGGGACCTTCCTTCTACACAGGAGAGTTGCCAGGTCAGATCTCCAGTCTATCTGCAAGGAAAAGCATTGCTGCATCTTACACTGAGGACAGTCAGGGTGTTTCAGTATTTAGCATGTCAGTTTGGCATCTAGAAGGTGCCATACTTTCTGTTTAGGTAAATCAGATTCAATAGATTGGTAGAGATGGGTGAACCCTCAGACCTAGAGGACTGTAAAAGTGTAACGCTGTAGAAGTGTCAGCTGGGAAGCACAGGGAGAGCCCATTTGATTGAATTATTTTTTCCCCTTTATTTATACCCCTCTCTTTCCAGCTCTCTCTCTATAAAAATATATATCTGTATCTACTGCATACGGTTGATGCATTTCCCTCCCTCCTGTACTTCTTCATTAGGCTTTTTCTCTTCCCCCTGTCCCTTTTCCCACACCCTTTTTGTTTTCCACTTTTCTGGCTCTCAACATGAGCTTTCACCATCTTTTTTCTTCCGCCCCTGTCCATCCCACAGTCTCCTAAGCAGATCACCAAGCTACTAACATTTGCTTTCCAGTTCTGCTCCGAAACTTGGGGTGTTTGATGTGGGATTAGAAATTAGGCAAAATGAGTTTACCCGTCCCTGTTTTGCGTTAGACTCCAATTCACAGCGTTACCATCCAGACGTTCACAGTAGCCATAAACTCTGTGGTCTTTTTTTCAACCAGACTGCACAGACTACATAGCAAAACAACTTCTTTCAATGGCAAGAAGAGTGTTGGGCTTGTAATTTTCCATCGACTGCAGTGAAAAGTAAAACTTGCATCTTTGCTATCGGCTCAGTCGCTTTGCCCATCCTTCAGATACAGCGAATGATATTTTTTTGGCCATAGGAAGTAGCTGAGCAGATCCTCACCTAAATAAATTGATTTAAGGCAAGAAGTGGGGTTTAGTCACCCCCGGTGTAACTCCCCTGGTATCAGTGGTGCAACTAACTCAGTGTTGCCAACTCTTGTAGTTTTATTACGAGTTGCACGGTAATTTCTGCTTTTCTCAAAACCCCAGCTCCCTACGGCGTGTGCTGAGGTGGGAATCTCAGCTTTCGTGTGCAACCAGACCCGAGTTTCTCGAGAGGCTGTAGCAAAAACCCAGAGACACGTAACCCTCAAAGCTCAGAAACCAGAATGCAAATCAACTCCAAATCCACCTTTTTCTTTTTGGCTCTTTTTCAATCTCTTGATTTTTGAGATGGTACTTTTTTTTCCGGCCTGACTTGTGACCTTTGAACGCTTCAGGTTGGCAATGCTGCTCCTTCCATTGGCATTGGTGGAGTTAGACCAGGGATGAGTTTGGCCCAGCGCTTGTAGAAGACAGCTGTATGACTCTGTTCCTTGCAATGTATTATTTGCTATGATCTGCTGTTCTCTTGGGGGCCAAAAGAAGTGGGTTTTTGTAGAAAAATAAAATTCTATCATCACTTGATACAAAAAATGGTATTTACAGAATTGTTTTCCCCCGTCTTTTGTTATAATTTTTTAGGTGCTTCAGAGCTGGGCCCATTTTCAGATCCCAGGCAGTTCACAAGCATTTCATCCCTCACTGAGAGCCGCTTCTCCAACCCACGAATGCACTATCCAGCCACCTTTACCTATACACCGCCAGTCACCTCAGGCATGTCACTGGGTATGTCCGCAACCACTCACTACCACACCTACCTACCACCACCCTACCCCGGCTCTTCCCAAAACCAAAGTGGACCTTTCCAGACCAGCAGCACTCCATATCTCTACTATGGCACTTCGTCAGGATCATACCAGTTCCCCATGGTGCCAGGAGGGGACCGTTCCCCTTCCAGGATGCTTCCTCCGTGCACCACCACGTCCAACGGCAGCACGCTGTTAAACCCTAACTTGCCCAACCAGAGTGACGGTGTGGAGGCGGATGGCAGCCACAGCAGCTCCCCAACCGTCTTGAATTCTAGTGGCAGAATGGATGAGTCCGTTTGGAGGCCGTACTGAGATTTCTTCTATAACCGGCCTGACCTCCGCGAGCCAAAAAATACCAAAAAAACAAAAACGGTCGACTAACTATGAAGTGCCTGTTTTTTGTGGGTTGTTTTTTTTTTTAGGGAAAAAAGAAAAGAAAAAAAAAAAAGAGATTTTACTGATATGTGCAACTGCGTAGACGGGATGATAATGGCCATAAATAACACCAGAGTTACCAACACACCACAACTCATGTTTCAGATTATGTGGATCAAAGCACATATATATATATTTTTTTTTTCTTGGAACCATTTTACCTTGTTTTATATTTAAAATATACTTTTTACACACACACAGAAAAATCACCCCCTCCTTTTTTTTTTTCTTCTTTTTCTTTTCTTTTTTTTGGGGGGGGGCGTCTAGCGTGTTGTAATAACTAGCGAGTACTTTTGCCAAGAGGAGAGAACGGACTCCCCGGCTATTAGGAGAAAAATGGTGATGCAAGGCAAAGGCTGCATTCCCTTTTATTTTTTAATAATAATAAAAAAACCCCTAACCATGAACTCCAGATACAGTTGCAATCATACAACGTATGGGACCCTCTTCACGCCCGTAGTGCAATTCAACTGGCTTGTATTGGTGCACATAAAAAGGAGAGCAAAGAGCGAGTTGCTTCCATTTTGCCATGATACACACTCAGATGAAGATAGCTGTCCCAAAAATCTCTGTCCGAGCCTTGCTGCAGATAACAGTTGGAACTTCTCTGTGTTCGTTGCTTTTTTTTTTTGGTTTGTTTTTGGGTACTTCAAGAGAATGAGTCTTCAAGTTAGGCTAGACAACCCTGGGCTTTCCTTTTTGCTTTTGTATCCGTTCATTTTTGCCTTCAATTAGCCAAAAAAAAACAAATATAACAACCAAAACCTTTAAAAACAAAAAGTAAAATGTTATTACTTATGCAAAATATGAAAATGGCAATATATATTAGCAGAGCCAAAATGGTATACATAGTATTTGTGTTTGGCTATGTTCTTTTTTATTTTTTTTTAAATTATAAATGTGTAAAATTTGAGGTTGTTTGCTAACATGAATCATCATATAACTTTAAAAGAATATTTATAATTATTTAATGACATTTGGACCCTTTAAACGTTTCTTAATGTAATGATATATTGACTTCGGTCTCTAAAAGTGTTTTTGTTTTTTGTTTTTTACTTACTACATATCTGCGATGGTTTAAACCTCAAACCTTTACCCAACTCTGAAAAGCAGTTCCAGTGTGAAACAGTCTACAATGTGATTTAAAAATGACAAACCCAACCCAAATGCATCCACATGCATCCACAATGCATCAAATGATTTGAGATGTAGGATCTTTTTATATAACTTATGAAGGAAATATTGTGTTTGAAATATTTTTATTAGCTGTCTGGTTGCCTTCAACACAGTCTTGCCTTTTAATCAGTAGTTGTGGAGACACTGGAAAAAATGGTAGGAAGGGTGAAATATTTTCCACCCTTCCCCTGATTTCTTCTTCTCCCAGGATTTTGTCAGAAGTTTGAAATTTGAAAATATTCCTATTTAAAATGTTCTGTTTTGACAGCGTGATTTGAATTTTGACAGGGTTTTTGTTTTCCCAAAGAAAAATCAAAGCCGTTTCAAAGCCCGTATTTTACAAGTAATGAATTGTCAAATATCTCAGAAATGGGAGTAAGGGAAAATTGGTGAAACTTTTTCCCCTCCCCTTGCCATTTTAGCCTATTTGATGGAATAAAAGGGTTCAAAACTCAAGACAGAAGCTGCCTGGTAGGGAATCACCACCCGTTAGCATTAAATGCTTGAGCCGTAAGGATGCTGCGTTGACTTTGAAGCCGATGTGGCTGTTGCTGTATTAGACAAGCACAATGGTGATGATACTCGCCTCTGCTGAAGATAAAAAAATCACCTTAAAAAGCCACACTGGGGCTCCCAGGTGGGATACAGGGAGAGCAAGTTGCACCCAAAACCCTTCATCAACCTGTCTGCCACCAAAATATCCTGCAGAGGCACCCAAATTTTACCCAGCCCAGGGCTGCTACAGCAAATGCGGCATCGGCTGGATGCGGTGGGAGCCGAACCGCCCTCCCCACGCTATCCCCAAGCTGGTGATGTTCAGCCTGGGTTGACGGGATGTTTGGCACGTGCTGATGGGGTTTGCTGACACTCCCTCCTCCCCCTGCCTTAGGCATCGCCGTCTGTAGCCTCCTCGGGGAGCTGCTGGCCACCACGCCGCTCCTTGGCTGTACTTTGGCTACCTCCAAAGTATGGCAATAACTCAACGGTGGGCACAGCCGTACAGAGCCGGACAACACCGTCACCGCTCGTTAATAGCGAAGCTGTTAAACGAGTTGCCATTAGCATGGTACATCCCTCTGATCTGCGTGATGATGCGCTCTTAATAAATAAATAAATAATAAATAAATAAATAATAAAGTCTTTGCCTTCTAAAGGTTGTATACCAAGTATGCTTAAAGTATAAGTAAGACACTTTTTTTTTTTTTTCCTTCTAATACTTAGTTTTCCTTCAAAGATGGAAGCTGTAATTGATTCTATTTATTGTTGGTTTGTGGTAGCTTGAAGCATACCACTGTCCATTTATTTGTAACTGTAAAATACGTTTGTTAGTCTCAGCAGCACTTAAAAAGCCAGTGTCTGGTTACACATTTCAGTTTTGTTTTTGTTTTTTTTTTTTATTTTTGTTTAGTAAGCAAGAGAAAAAGATGTACTGCCAGTGCAAGCTGTTTCCTATTTAATAAAAGGTACTATATTTGTACATTATTTGTTATTGCTGAGAAGGGCTTTTTAAGGTTTACTGTATGCATATTAAGTAATTTTTAGGGTGCTTTTGTGTTGAAATGTTGTTAAGAGTGGCTGCAGGCAGCAACCCAGATTTTTTTTCTTTTTTTTTTTTTAAGACTTTGTTGTAAAATTCAAGCACTTGGTTTTTGTTTCTGGATAAATCCAGCACAGACCAGACTTTTGTTTTGCTCAGTACCAACAGGACTCTATTTGTGTCCCAGCGGTTTTTCAACTGGACCATTAGGGACAGACGTTGAAAACGTTTTCTCCTCCTGGTTGAGGCGCATGTGCCTGATCCGTGCCCTCGACCTCCCTGGCCGTGTGGGCAGGCGTCTGGCTCTGCCTTCTTGAGATAGGAAGGAAAGGATTTTCAAAGTACATATGGATGAAGGAGCATCAGCCTCTTGACTTTCAGTAGACCCCCCGTGCTCCTCAGCCCTCCTGGTGCCTTTGGAAAAATCTCTTCCAGTACGTCAGGCTGGTCACAGAGGGAGTTGTACAGGCAGAGATGCTCTTCAAAGCTTTCGGAAAATGCTTTTGAGTTTACTTGGAAGTGCTTTTGAATCAGGATTTCAGACCAGGGAAAAAAAAACCAAACCCAACTGGCACTATGTATTAAATCATATCAGATTATTTGATGTTTTGTGAGGTGCTTAGCATCAACAGAAAAGAGTTTTCTCAAAGGTACGACAGCCCTTCCCTTCAGTGAGTGGCAATCTTTGGCACCAGTCATAGATTTAAAGATTTTTTTTACTTTCAACTTCTCTTATCCTACCAAAGATTTACTTCCAGCACAACAGGCACGATGTCCCTTTTGCCGAATGGAGGATTAAATCCTCCTCTCCCTTCTCCTAAGGGTAACTAGATCAGGGTCAGCGGGGCAGGACGGATGAGTAAAGTCAATTCTTTAACCCGCAGCACCATTCATGTGGCGTTTATGGTTTGTTTTTTTAAAAAAAAAATCTGTTGTGTCTTTCTTAGCATTGAACTTTTTTGCCAGCAGTCCCCCCAGCAAAGATTTACCAGTTTCCACAGGTACCATCTTGAGTGGGGATAAAATTTTGCACTTTCACACTTAGCAAAGCAAAGCTTGGCCCTGTGCCGGGCTGCACGCGGACAACAAGCCATGAGCAAAAGCAATAATTAAAACCTAGATCAGCCATGAGCTCAAAGAAGCCCCATTCTCTGAACCCCTGAATTTCTTGTTGTTTTTAAATAGAATGCATTTCATTTTAACATTTTCTGAGAACTTTTTTAGATTTTTGTTTACTTCCATGTTTACAGATAACTCTTTGCTTTTTTTAAAAAAAAAATGCAGTACTTTTAAGTATATCAGCCAAAACCATACTTTTACAGTAACTTTTGTTTTAGGTAATATGAGTGACATTCCAATTTTTTGTTGTTGTTGTTAAATATGCTTTACCAGTCTTGAATTTCCGCTGGAACAAAATATTTGTAGCATTTTGTGTAAATACAAGCTTTATTTTTTTTTTTTATTTTTTCAAATGCTGTCACCTGAGATTTGCTTTTCATGCACATATTGTACAAACACACTCTGCTTTGTGCCACAGACGATGATTGTGGATCAGTTTACTTCAACTTCAAAGGGACTATTTGTATTGTATGTTGCAACTGTAAATTGAATTGTTTGGCATTTTCTCATGATTGTAATATTAATTTGAAGTTTGAATTTCATTTTCAATAAAATGGCTTTTTTTTTGTTAATGTTCTTCTATGCTTCTTTTTCTTCTGCTGTCTCCTCTTAGCCACGCACCAGGCAGGGTAAAGTAGGTACCTGGTAGGACACAGTACTGACCGTTCCATGGTGACCCTTCCATCAATTTCTGAAGCACTTAAGTTTTCAGTTAAATTAAAAAGTAAATTTCCAGGCCTGTGGGTGGTAAAAGACACCTTCTTAATCTGATCTTGAATGTTTCTTCTTTTCCTGAGTCTGCAAACTCTGTTTCTTAGAGGAGTGCAAACAGTTCCATTCATCTCACTAGGCTGTTGACTCTGAAACCTAACAATTGACATTAGCCAGGACATTCTGGTGCTACAGTGTTGTGGGCAGAGCTGGAAGTATAGGAAGAGTTGGGATAGATTTCCAAACCGGGGGTAGGGAGGAGAGATTTTGGTTTATGGCACTTTTCCAGGATGGGGGTTGCGCTATCCCCACCTCTTCCTGGTCAGACCTGAGG